GGTACGTGGTCTGCCTGCAAGGAGAACTATTTCCCGCTGTAATTCCTCTCCTCCTTTCAATAAATCCTTTCTATTTTTACTCTGTCTCACCCAAGCAGTGGGTTAAGCGCTCTCTATTTTGAGAAGTTGCCTGCTCCAGTTTCTCCTCTAATAAACCCCAAACTTTGGCATTTGAGAACCGCTTTGGTCTTCCCGCACGCCACGCCGTGAGCAGCCCTACCTTCCTCCTCAGGGCCCAGGCACAAGGTCACCAGATGGAAGCCTTGAACACCCCTCACCTTGCTTTAAAACCAGTGATTTTAATTAGTACAATAGCAACCCCAGAGGAGAGAGATGAGGAAGAGCTGGCGGGGGCCACGTTATCGGCACTGGGCTGCCGGGAACGGCTGCGACAGCCGTCTTTCTAAACACCCAGACCTGCCCACGTACTTCCAGACAGGGCAGCTTCCCAACACGGGGTTTTTATGAGCAATTCTTTGCTCTTCTGGAAAGAGCACTGATACCATGAATCATACAGCCCCCGTGGGGGTCACAGCAGAAGCCCATTACAGCTGCAGCAGATTGCTCGCACTTGACCTTTAATCCGTAACTAACTTTTGATGTAATTTAGTACAGCTAAAGGCGCGGATCCAGGACAAACAGCTGGTGGGGAGCAGTGGACAGAGAAAAGCCCAGAGGGAATTAAAAAATACCTGTACGAAATGAAACAGCAGTAGCTTAGGACACGCACTTTAAAATACACAGAAGCCAGGAAGCTCAGCAGCTCAGTTTGAACATTAAGGAACCATCACGAAGGGTGAGTCAGTCCGGTCTCATTTTGAACATCTGACCTGAATGGTCTCAGTGAAGCGTATGCAGAAGGCTGTTCCCCAGGACAGGAAAAAAAACATCTACGTCTTCATTTTGCGCCATATGACTAAGCGAGGGATACGTGCAAGCCCTGGCCATCGCGCAGACACAGCAACGTTCGCGGCAATCGCCGCTCCTCTAAAAACGTGGACTCCTGCTAAGCGGGCAAAGCGGCTGCACCCGGCACCCGGGCAGACACGCGCCAGGCTGCCGCCGGGGGCACGGCGCAGGCAGGGAACGGCTTTGGAGGGTCCCGGGCACTGTGTGAACAGCTGAGCGCCGGGGGCACGGCGCAGGCAGGGACCGGCTTTGGAGGGTCCCGGGCACTGTGTGAACAGCTGAGCAAAATCCTGCAGCGACCGTCGCCAAAAGGTGCGTCAGGAAAACCACCATCAGCTCACGTGCGCCCGCAGCCGAGTTGCGAGGACACATGAGCGTGAAGGCCATCGTGAGCGCGACCGTAGCCGCGGGAGCGTGTTACGGCCGCTGACGTGCGGGGTCCCGCCTGTTAGAGGACGCGTGCTGAGGCAGCTGCACCCCAAGGTCTTCGCGCTAAGACTGGAGTGCCGCTTGTGGGAAACCGGGCGTCTTCCCACGCTCCCTCCGACGCTTTGCGAACAGGAATGTAAACACTTCCTCTTACTACTTCTAAGGACAAAACCACACTCCCATCAGTTAACACAAGGCAAGGAAGAGTCTCAGATTCCTTTGAAACCTACTCCAAAACCTTTCTGCTGATATATTTTTTTTTTCCAAGGAGGAAAGTATTCTCTTCGGCACAATCTTTATTAAATAAATTAGAGGAGAAAGACAGTTACTATTGTAGTCTGATAGATTATATTTAGCTTTGACTATGAATAACACTTCAGCAGACAAAACTTCCCTGAGGAAATCCAATTAATGGTATTGCATTATTCTGCACTGAGGAGGGGTAAGGCTTGTTCAAGTGAAGCTTATGCAAGGTTCCTGTTGTTTCTGTCTTCAGTATTTGCATTTTTGAGACGAGATAAACAGTGACTGAATGATGAAAAGAAAGGAAAAGTATCTAAATGATTAAGTACCTGGAGTTGTAAGTAAAAATTCAATGCTTACGACATGGAAACAAGATGATAAGAAATGGTGCTCAGCTCTCAGGTGTTGAACACTCCAGAAACAGCTGAAGAACTAAAACATATAGAGCATCAAAACCTTCGCTAACGAAAGGCAAGTTTAAAATATCAGCTGTTATCCCTGGAAGATAACTGAACTAAAGGATTTAAGAGACTCTAATGGACTAAGAAAAAAAGACAAACATCCCAGTGGGAGCCTGCAATACTTGTTGTTTTGTAGAAATAAATTTACTGAAACAAAAGTCACGTAAAAAAATCTTGGTTTTTACTGGACTCCAGAGTTTTCAAAGGAAGAGCAGATGATCTCCGAGATCCTTGGAAGTACAGCCTGGAACTGAGACTTAGCATCAAATTTGGGGGAATGCACAAAGCTGATGGTTCCTGCTCCGTAACCCCGGCAGTTTAAGTCACTCTCCTGAACCCATTGTCTTCATACTCTTGGCACCTCAGCAATCAGCACTTTCTGCCTCGTTACCAAGTGCATACACAGAAATGCAATGACAGCCTATGTCTACAATGACATATTTGATCTCCAGGACAGTTGAAGGGCCATAAAAACCATGGTAGATTGTGGTAAATGTTCAACATGCTGCTTGATGCACAGCTGTAATATCGTGATTTAACTGTAATATTAGTCTGAATTACTGTAGCCTATATAATGGGCAATTTTAAAAGAAGTCTTCTTTAAAAGAAGCATTTATTACATCAGTGAATACGTTTGAGCTTGTTACCAGTTGGTGATAAAAGTTGGAGGATGAAATAGGACATAAAACCATTTCTGAGACACACACAATGTTCCCTCCCTTGGCATCTCCTTGTATCTATTAATACACATTAAACAAACACGTACCAGCTTATAACTAGTCTGAACACAAGGTGTCAGAGGCAGAATGGGGACTCGTCTTCTGCAGCGCAGACCAACGTATCTCCTAGTCTGGGTCATCTTCCCAGTAAGAACAACCCTATGGGTTTTGGGGCTCCTCAGATCACCAGCTGTTTCCCATAAAGCTCAGTCCCTCTGTGCTCCCCCCAAAGCCACTCACCCTGCCAGGCAGCTTGGGGGGATTTGGCTGACGATAGGAAGTCATCAGCGCTAGTCCCCCTCGGCTCCCTTCACACGGCCGGAGCCGAGGGTGCCATTCATCTTATCCCAGTGGAGACATCTCCATTTCATCAAGTGATTCACACCCTACAGAGGTTCATCTCTCTCCAGTGACAAAGAGGGGCCTAGGGCAACTAGCTCAGATGTGGGCATCATCCACCCCTCGTTGCTGGGCTAATGCCCATCCCTGCAAGTACTGCCTTTCCTCTCCCCTTGCTCACGCCATCTCCCTCCTAGCCCAAGTGCCCTACCACTGATCTCTGGAAGAGCTGCGAATCCTCAACGTCATTTTTCACCGCTACTGCCTTCCTTTAGTGAGGCTCACTACAGTTATGATACATTTTGGCAATCACTTAAAATATTACTGCTCATTTCCCTATCTCTAAAAGACAATAAAGATGAATTACTGGGTAAAACATGAAGCCTCTTGTAGCACTTGGGTTTTAAATCAGGGGAATTCAAAGGAGGGTAAGGATAATAAGCCAATAGATTATAATATTGTACTCAAGTCCTCCAACTGTTTCTTAAAAACAACTGAAACTTCCCCACCAAGAAATTCGGTCAGTCCACTGAGTTATGAACCAACTCTAGAAGCTGACCTCAAAGCTGACTGTAAAACCAGGAGAATTTTATCCTACTTTTAAGTAGGAATCTTAACGGGACTGTAACCACACAGCAACACTATGTAGCCTGTAGATTTACCATAATCAGGCATTTACCAAACTGTACATGAACTGCTCGGATGTGCTGAGGCGGGCAGAACAAGGTGAGTGAAACCCAGTACCTCGACAGCGCTGCAAGCTTCAATGACTCAATGACCTCGATGACTGCGCTGTGAAATGCCTTTTCTATCAGAGGAGTGAGGAGGAAAAGCAACAAAGCAAGAAATCTATGGCTTTGCAGGGATTTTAACTCTTGGCTAAAAACACAACTCCAGCAAGGGTTTAATTCAGGTTTTCTGGAAGCATCTGAGAGCTATTTGAGTCGCATCCTGAAAGGCAGCAATGGCCGAGATGAATGCCAGCGATCCCGATTCACGTCCTCACCCCCCAGCACCGGGCAGCTGGTGGCAGACAGCCACTGCCCCGGCAGACCAGTTTCTAGCAGCAAGAACAATATCCAGGCACCACTTAGAGTTTGTGGCACAAGAATAAATGAAAAGTAATTCTTAAAAGGTTACTTGTGCCTACCCAGCATTACTCAAGGAGGCAGTCCACGCGTGCATTCAAGCGATGGGTACAAATGGGGCCCCTCACCTGAAACCACGACCATCCGCTCTCTCAGGACCGGCGGGGGCAGAGTCACAGCCCCCACTCCGGCGCTCGGCGCAGAAGGCAGCTCAGCCAGCAGCATTTAGTGCCCTCCAGACCGCTGACGCAGGCAGGGAAGGCGAAGAGAAAGGTGGGTGTGTAAACACATCAGCTACGCGTCTCGGAAAGTGCTGGTTACTGGTGAGCATCCTGCCTTGGAGAATGATTCCAGGTTGCAAACACGGTATCGGTAACGTGTTGGAATGAAACGGGAACAGGACAGCCGCCCTACGGAGCGCTACATCGGTTCCTGGGGTTTCGGAGACCCCATCGTACTTGCAGAGGAAACGGATGGATCTCTGCATGGGCACGCAGGAGGGATGGACAGGCAGGAATCAGGGATCAGGGCTCGGGCTGTGGCAGAGCCCGCTTTGGCCACACCTGTACCTGATGATCAAAGTGCAGGACCTCATTCTTCCAAGCTATGGCTCCAGGAAAGAAGTTTCTGAAAAACTCATCATACCTTTCCCTGCCTAAAATACAGTGTTAACTAATACTGGCATGCTCACAACAAGGACTTGAGGCAATCGATCATTCTCCTTCACACCCCCGAGCAGTTTCTGGGCAGTACGCAATCTGGCGTGCATCAAGTAGCTCTTGCAGAACAGAGCATTTAAACCGAACACTTACATCAGTTTTGGATTTGCAGGTCTCTTGCCTGTCTCTCAGCATCTTGTCAAGAACTCCACTCCTGCACCAAACGTTAAATACAGTTTTCCCGTGCTGATATCCCACTTCCTGGGGAAAGAAGAAAAAAAAAAAAAAGAGAGAGTTGGGGGGAAAAGTAATTAATAATTATAAAAACCATTATGTCACATCATCTGCAAATTAGCAGGAAATCCAGAGGTCTACCACAGAGCCAGGATGTACTTTTACTACCTTCCAGCCTCAGCTAGATAAGCTGTTCAGCCTAAGAATTAGGGGAACGATTAAGCAAACAAGGTGCTATTTTAAGTCCAAACGCTAACCTGGCCTTTGACCCCCCAGCTTGCGATGAAAAGTGCCACCTGACACAACTATTTTTACAGCAGTGGCTGCAAGCAGGCTGTTCACAGAATAATGCCATATAAAGAGAAGCTTAGGGCACATGTATATGCCTTTCCAGTACTGGCTCTTTCTGCGGCAGAGAGTATTAATTAATTTGTGCCTTTCCCCCGCTTGGCTCAAGTCTAGCAAAGAAAAGTTACCATAGGGCACCCGCTTCCAAAATCTCTTGCAATGAGTTAAGCCAGACAGCGCCGAACATGAAAGCCTTAGTTTGCTGGCCCATGGACAACACCAAACCCACAAACTCCACGTTCCTCTAATTTAAAAGCATAAAGTAATTTGTACTTGGAATAACAACATGGCCCCATGTCCTTAGCATGGAAACAACTGGAAAAAACAAACCGAATGCTCCAAGTTTTACTCTTTTTCTAACGAGACAGTAGAAATGGTGTTGAAAAATCAAATCAAAAGGACAGGGCAACAGGTGTCGGGAGTCCTGGATCCTATTTCCAGCTCCTGCACTGGCAGCACGCGCTAAACTTCGGGCTTGCTTGGCAATTCCGCGTGCTGGAAGCAGCCCTGGCTGAGCTGGTGTTCTCTCTCCTCTGGTTTTTGGACCAGGGTTCAAAGCACAGGAGGCACTCAGGCTGGAATTCACCTCTCATAATCTATTGCAGCTTCTCAGCCCAGGGTGGATGTGATTACTCAGGAGGAAAAGGGACTTGACAGATCTACAACTGGGTCAGGTTGATCCAAAATAACTGCGAGAACCTGAGGCTTCGGGAAATGACGTGCAGCCCACTTAGTGCTCAAGGCTGACACAGAAGAGGGGTTTTCACAAGAAGGGGGGATTTTTGTTCTTTCGAATGTGCTGGATGGTTATATGATGCCCATTTCTATTTTCAGTAAAATCCAGGTACACAGCTGAAATAAAAAGTCCCCACTACTTCACAGGCTGCAACGGTAAAGGAGTGCCGAGGACGCCCTTTCCTTTAAGGTCAGCACAGTGTAAGGCTTCCCTGTGGACAAAAATTCTTTAGCTACACTGCAGGGAGTGAAAATCCTGCCCCTCAATACCTGCAGCGTCTCATGCCAAGAACTTGCTCACAGAAAGTGACATCTTTGAGAAACGGGACTTTTCTCAAGTTTTATTCCACTGAGAAAAATTTGCCTGGTGTCTTTAAATCTCTTTAATGACACCAAATTAGACAGAGACAGAACAACGACTTGCCAGCTTACTATCTGTTACTGTGATGAACTACCAGTCCATCAAGGTTTTCAAAATGGCCGGGGCACTCCATCTAGCAAAGATGACTATTTATCAGCAAAGTCTCAGATCCGCCATTGGCAGACAGCACTGTTTGCCCAGGAGCTATGAGACACCAAATATCCTTGAGAAAATATTTATATTGGGGAAATCAGCTGGTGGTTTGGAATAGCTGCTGTCCTAAGGACTCTCTCAAACACCAATCTGCGAGGTTAATTGTATTACTGGTTTTGTTTGGCGTTTATAAGACAGTACTAGAGAAATCAATCTGCAGCCTAATGAGTATTGTAGGTTCTCACTACAGCTATAAAGGAGATAGACTGAGAGAAAAATTGGTGGTGGGTTTTTTTCCCCCAGCCTAGGGGAAGAGCAAAGCTACGTAGGACACCTGAACATGGAAGATGCGTGCATGGCATGTCCCATGGGCAGGGGCTTTTTTGTTATATCACTAAGACAATTCAGCTGCACATCTGGCGTCAGTTCTTCCCATGCTGGTTTCTGATACATAAACAAAACTAAGTCCCAGAGACACGGTACTACCCTTCCGTAACCTGGTACTACCCTTTTTACAACGCCCTTCCACTGACATTGCTGTCATTTTCCTGATACCCTATCAAGGGCAGAGGAATTGTGGATGATATGTTTTATTAATAGAAGTGTTGAAACGTTAACCCAGCCAGGTATTTTAGCACGTTGCCCTATTATTTAGGGCATTTTAGCATTTTAGTGATTCACAGCCTCCCCTACAGACCACTTCTTCAAATCTTTCATATGACAACAAGCTACATAATGAAGGGAAAGAAATTACACCATTTGACAAACCCCAACTACCCAAAGCAGCTGAGACACCCAACAGTTTTTACCAAGCAGCTGAGCAAGAACTGTCACGAAACAGAGCGAGGCAACCGATCCATTCACAGGTCATTATACAATCAAGATTACTAACTCGATTTCCGCTGTTAATCCAATCTCACAGTCATGATATCATTCCACAGCATTATTTAATGTCAATTATTCACTCTGTGCCAACTGACATCTCTTACTCTCCAACAGTTTAGGCACTAATTAGCACCACCAACCAGCAGATTTCTGTGGAAGGGCAATACGGGAGAACTGCCTTCCCCAGGAAACACTTACACAGATCTCATCGAATTTCCCAAAGTCCAGGGTTTCGTATCGGTCAATGGGCGGCCGGATATACTCGCAGTAATCGCTGTTCTTCACCATCTCCAGCTGCCGCACACAGCACACGTATGCAAGCCGCGTCTGGATCTCTGCCATATTCAGCACCTGCCAACCAGGCCAGACACACCAATCATGATTAATTCAGAAATTTCGTTTCAGAATATGTTTTGTTTTCATCATGGAGAAAAAGCAAGTTATCTATCTTTCCCCCCTCCCCGCCAAGAGCACACAGAAGCCTGCTGAAGCCTTCACACATCAGCACCTCCGTCTGTTTCCCAGGCAGTGTGGACAGCTCGCCGATGAGTCTCCATAATCTACAGCAGAAAGGGAATTGCCTTCAAACATATTTCTGTAGTTCAAGGTGAACGGAGTCTTTCATTCCAGGATATATAATGGTACCTTAGGAGAGAGATCTGTGCTGAGGTAAAGAGGGGAACAGCGATCCTTCACGGCAGAAATCGGTGATGATCTCTACGGTACCAGGGCAGAGATTTCACAGAATGGTTGAGGTTGGAAGGTACCTCTTGTGATCATCTAGTCCAACCCTCCTGGTTCAAGCACAGGCAGCTGGGGCAGGTTGTCCAAGACTATGTCCAGCTCAGTTTTGAGTATCTCCACTGATGGAGACTCTACAATCTCTCTGGTTGGTGTTTCACCACCCCCAGTAAAACAAGAAGTGTTTTATGGTGTTCAGAAGGAACCCCATGTTTTCACCTGTGCCTGTTGCCATTTGGGCAGTCGTAATATTCCACTGGGCACTACCAAGAAGAGTCAGGGTCTCGCATTTTCCCCCACCAAACACTCTCACTGCGTGCTGGGAGCAGAATGGTCAACTCAGCCAAGGCACAGCCACACCAACTCCAAAAGGCAATTTCTCAGGGAGGTGAGACCTTTTCAGGGAAGGGAGTTATCACAGAGGATAAACTTCAGATTACGGAGTGGCACCCACAGCTGGCAGCATTTTCTGTAACTTTGGGAAACACAATGAAGTATTTTACTTCCAATTCCAGCAGGGAACTACAGTGTTAACTGTAGTTGGGAGGGAAGAAGAATAAACAGCATTGACTTGGGGGACAGCTGCAGAGCCAGATAATTTAGGAAATAAAGAAGAATAAGTAACAGAGTTGGCCTGACTGCATGCAACAAGAAGAAAAAAACAGTCATACTCTGAAGCCCAGTGTTTATCGACAGTCGTAATGTTAATTACTGCCTAGTGCTAAAATCTCCCTAAATCAACATATAGGATAGAAACACTGAATTACTTTTATTGGTAAAATTCACAAATTCTGACTTCATTAAAACTTACTGCACCTCTAAGAAAAGGGTTAATCGGTCTAACAATTCTACCATCCCCTTCCCAGACTGGGGCTCTACACCTCACTGCCTTTCCTTTGGTGTCAGGGCACTGCCCAGCTTGTTTTGTCCATAAGTAAGAGCTCAAACCACAGAAACAAGACGGTCTGTCACCAGCCTTGCTCCCTGAATGAGCAGGGGGAAGCCTCCATCTCTGTACGTAAAACCAGCTGCCATTTTAACACAGCGTGCAGTACCTTGACTTTCTCGGCCAGCGGATTCCACCTCTTCCAGAGCAGCCACCAGCCAGACAAGCAGTCGCCGTAGTTGGTGAGGTCTGTCTCATCCCGGCTCCCCACATCGATCGCGATCACCACCTTTGCGCCCATGGACCTCGCAACATCAGCTAGTGGGAAAGAAGGTCGTATCGCTACCAGTGCTGGCAACCAGTGCTGCTCAACTGAAGCTTACATACATGCCGTCAGGGAGCACGCAACCCGGCCTCGTCCCTACCACGAGTGCCTCCGAACAGCCTGGGGTATAAACATTTGCAGCAACTCTGCCGAGAGAGCATTTCCCCAGGGAGGGTCCCACCCCACTCGCTCCGTTCTAACGGAGAGATCCCAGCGCGCTGCCCGCTCCGCACCGACCGAGCCCCTGCGTAACCTCAGGGTGAGAGTTCCTGTTGCTGAACTGCTGTAAACATCAGTTAAGGGGTACGTTTTCCCCCAGATCGGCAGGACGACCTGACTCTCCCCGAGGACACGCTGTCACCAGAACCAGCGCGAAGGCGGCAGCAAAACTGTACGGCAGGGAGCGGGGGAGAGGAGGTGGGACACCACAGCTCAGGCCCACGGCTACCCCACATTGGGTCGAATTAGGTTAAACCCACGTTAATTCTACTTCATGCAGCATTTCTCATGAGAACAAGAGACCTGGGGGACCTGAAGAGAGACCAAGTGGCAGTGGCCTTAAAGAGGAGAGTCAGCAGAGCAGGGACCAACCCTGCGGGGTAGGAAGTAGTAAAGGAAAGGAGCAGCACGGGAACCGGACAGCAAGGAGCGGCTGGGGGGATTTCAGTCCTGGCTTTGGGATCCAGGAGAAAGATTCATTTCTGGGAGCGGGAGAGAAATGAGGCACCGCTTCCTACTTCAAGGGCAGTAAGAAGAGGGCTAGCTGCAGCCCTTGGATATGGGCAAGGATTTAGGGAAGTGCCAAGGGAGGGAAGAGAAGGACACGTAAATTTCATGTAATGAAAATGTAAAAGAAATTTACATTGTAAAAGAAATTTACATTACATGTAAAAGAAATTTATATTTCTTCCACACCCCCAGAGTCCAAGATAGTTGCAGCTTCCAGAATAGTTATGCGTAGGAAAACCACAGCTCTGAAGAGCCAAATTAGATGCTTAATTTAGACACATTTAAATCAGATCTGTTCTGTAACTTGGATTTATATTCCTGAGCTCGTTCAGTCTATTGTATGTTTTCCACCCCGTGTCACCTGCACACGTGCTCTTTGCCCTCTACAATATGTGCAGGTGGAAAAGGTGCTTTGGTTTGCAATTCATACCGCTGCTTACAGACACAAACAGAGACTGTCACACGCAGATTTGGGGGGGTCTATTTTGTGTTATTTCCATTTGTGGGTTTTAGGCAAATATAGCCCCGATGGAAAAACATAGTCTGGGTTTGTCTGGAACATCTACATGATTTCGGTTGCTCAGACGCAGAGCCTCTAGCTTAGAATCCTTCCTCTTCATTTGTACACAATTATAGTCACAAACTGCAATGACACCACATGTCTCTCTTCGATCTTGGCCACCCACCTTCCAATGCTTTCTGACTACGGTGACAGCCCTAGATGACCTTTAAAGGTCCCTTCCAACCCCATCTATTCTATGATAAAACACACTCCAAACACACACAGATGAATTCACATGCCTCAGACCTTTCTGGGTTCAGTCCTCAGAACACCCCAAACTCCACATCACTCTTTTGGACTTCATGTGATTCCACCTCTGCTGTGTGCTAGCAGCTAACCAAGACACCGATGTCTGTCAGCTGAACCCTTCAGGCTGTGGGTGAGACCAGTCTGAACAATGAAGAGTTAACGCTGTTGCTTTCCCAGAATTATTTCTCAGTCAACTGATACTTTTTGGAAAGAAACCCAAAGATAAACTATAAGTTTGCAGTTTAATTTCTGCTATCTCCTTTCAGTGAGCACTAAAATAAATTCAAAATTAGCTTGGAATGCTATGTTCAGAATATGTCTATTAGGAAATACTTCATAACAAAAAAATAGTCTTAATAAAGCCATGATAAAGCAAACACCTAGGAAACTGAGAACAATGACTCCTGCTAACCATCGTGAGATTAAAGGTGTCTGCAATATTCCTCCTTGTTTCCTTTTTTGGAAAAAAAAAGAGAAAGAGGACAAAGTTTTTCTGGCTGTTTGATGGGCTGCGTTCTCGGGAACTTCTTCCCAGCTGATCTGTGCACCTACCAGGAAGATTGTTGATATAACCTCCATCCATCAAGAGGTGCCCATCCTTCGGGTCACAGAGAGGAGGCATATACCCAGAGAGGGACATGCTGGCACGGACGTACCTCCACAGAGAGCCTGCAGGAGAGGGAACGGCAACAGCATTAATTACTGCCACAGAGGAGGTGGGTTAGGCTTTTGCACTCATTAAAATAATTGAGGGATAGAGGTTCTCCTGAGAATACCGTTAGAAAGTTATTAAAGCAATTTATTATCTTCTATACCATAATCCTGGGGGGGGGGGGAAAGCTCTTCAGACATAAAATCAGGCAAAGGCCTTAGAAACCACAGTTTTAAGCCCATGCCTCATATTTATTGCCTTCAAGGAGATTTCAGCGTATGCCTGACTGCGGGGATCATCCTTAGTGCTTTGTTGAGCTTACACTGATAAGGAAAGGAAAAGGCTTCTCCTGGGGACAAAGGGATAGAAAGAATGAGCAGACTCAAGTGCAGCTAAAGCCATTATACTCTACAGAGAGCCACAAAGCCCAGACTTTTAGCAGGAGCTGAACATGAAAAATATATGCCGTAGAAGCCCAAAAATTCTGTTTTCCCAGCTCTGTCATAAGCAAACGTTTTCACTTGTAAAAGCAGTGCAATGCATGGCGGCGATCTCAGCTCTTATTCTGTTAGTAGTGCTGGAGGGAGGAAAGCTATGATCTTTTAAGCTGTTAGAAACAGAAAGTTTAATCAAGTAGAAATTGATTGGATCTGTTTCCTGTAAAACATTCTGCTTCGAGGCTCTTATTTACTGATTTCTCTCTTAACATTTGCATCAGCTGAACGGGGAAGACACTGCATTTCCAAAAAGGCCAAGAGTCTTGTCTGAGAAGCAAATCTTTAAAATACCAAAAATAAGTAATACTTGCCGTGTTAGCCCACTTCTCAATAATTAACTACTTGGTGCTTCAAACAGCAACTCCTTCCAGCAAACGGGGAATTGATTTTTTTTCTTTTCTTTTGAAACTATATAACCGTTCCATTTCTAATTATAACGTAAGCACTCCTGCTGTTTAGCACAGGTCAGTACTGGCAGATTTGGGATTTTTTTTTTTTTTTTTTTTTTGATAGTTTTAGTTGAGTTGGAACTTCCACCCAAGAAAAATGCTGACTTCTTGCATTACAGCCCACAGATGAAGCCAAGATGGGCAATTGTGGCAGCTGGGAACCTCTGTCCTCTCCTTTCAGTGAATTCTGAAAACAACCATAACCATTCTCCCACTGATTTCTATCCTTACATTAAACTTTTGCAGAGACAAACAGCTGGATGGAGTGAGTTTCCTGACCTCAACTGGCTTAACCTGCTGCAGAACAGGAATACAAAACCTCTAAGAAAGGTTAATCCTTTTTCTGCTTGTTTTAGCTCCCTTGGTTGTCCTCCATCAAAGCCGGTGTCAGCCTAATGTAGCGGTTCGGTAACCCCGGCCCTAACGGCATGGACAGTCTTACCTGCGCCAGCTCAAAAGACGAACACCGGGGACGTGGCAGCAAGGGCTTCAGCTGCCCAAGGAAATATCTGGGGCACCTGGTAGGCTTGTACTGTCTTCACTGAAGCCTGAGTCACTGCACTTGTTACCCCAAATAGACAAAAGCTACAGCCAGTGTCCCACAGGGCTGCCACCACATCCTGAGAGCAGAGCAGACAGCTCGGATCTTTCTCCTCTGTTCAGTCAGTGTAAAGTACATCACAGTTTTCCACCAGAGAAACACAGAGGACTGACCATAAGCGAGAACCCAGCCCAGCCTCCGCTTCAGGCACAGGAGGCTCTTTATTGGGAAAACAGCTTCACTTATGGGGAATTCGAATCTTAAAGTGTTTTGGTTGCATTAGGTCTGATTTATGGCCAAAACTCCTGCACTTCATGGGATGTTTTAAGGAGACAGAATAGCGTCAATGGACCCATTTTCTCTCTAAACAGCAAGTAAAGCATCTCATTTAATTACTTCCCAACAGCTTTGTTCCTTGTTATCTGTGTACAACCACGGTTTGGTGCTCAGCAAATAACAGAGAAGGGAGAAACAAAAGGAAAGACAAATTTAAAGGTGAGGAAAATTCCAGGAACAAGGGGTGACACGAAGTCTCACATCATTATTTCACAACCTGCCTCCGGAGAAGGCTGCCTGCACACTCACCGTCCGTGTGGACCCTCATTGCTGAGGCGGTGATGTCAGTTGTGATAGTGAAGTAAGGGATCCACAGATCCTGCAACAGAGGAGGTCTCAACTTTACTAAATCCGTAACCTTGCACTTAAAATAAAACCCATGCCCAACACAAACCAAAGCAACACCCTCTGTGTCTTAACAGACAGAGCTGCAGGCACAAACACCAGCATGGATGGAGAAAAACCCATCAGCCCTGTGTTTAAGTTCATAAATTTGTTTCTTATGTAAACAGTTCATGCAGAACCAAGGCAGACAAAAATCCTTATTTCCTTTTTTTAATTGCAAGAAATACTTGTTCCAGAAGACCGTCCCACAAACAGAGCAGCACAGAAACCTCATTACTCAAACCAGGAGTTCACCTTCTTTCTGACACCAGTTTTTCTTTCAGATGGAGTGTGGGGGTCTGACGGTAACTCTTTAGATGAGAGATCCCTAGGCCGTTCATTGCTGGAGGACAATGGGAAGGGAAGACTCACCTTTTATGTATTCAGTTCTTATCTAGCTGCTTTCGGCCTCCCCTGGAGACATGGCACTCAGCTAGAAAGACCTTTGATCTTGCCCAGTATGGCCATTCTTGCATTTCACCCAACCGTTTCCACTCAGGGTGGTGTTTACCCTTACACAGAGCAAGTATTCACCATGGATGAGCATGGAACTACTCAGCTCGCTCTAACCCCAACCTAAGACTGTAGCAGGCAGCATCTTCCTTGCCTTCCTGAAACACCACGGCCCAAGACAAGAGGGAAGAACACGAGTCATGGCCTCTCGACTAAATGATGTTCAATCGTACCTCGTGGAGATGAAGCTAGGTGTCATTTCA